CAAGGCCCAAAGAAAGGATCTTCTAGTAAAATGATGAAAAGCTTAAAACGTCCACGGTGGCTGCATTTGAGAATATTTTATAGAAAAAGGACAGTCAATTTTGAAATAGAAAATCATAGTACGTGCTTATCGAGTACAAAAATTCGTAATGGATCCATTCACGCTAACGCCGCCATTTTGAATTGAGGCAAACGCGCGAAGATTKGGGAAATATATTGATCACTTTGACCCCGCTCAATCTGAACAAATTCGTAAGGTTTGTAAGTTACTAGATGTATGTCAAGTAAGTGGTTGAATATAAGATAAAGGCTAGTGCATTACCTACTTTTTTGGTAGTAAAATAGGATTAATTATCAAATTTCGTAATAAAAATAATAAAAATACGAATAAATCTCATTGTTTTTGAAAAAAATGTTTGAACAGATTTACAAGAAGTCAAAGTCCCTTTCGCGCGTTTTTCGACAATTTAAAATGACAGACAAACTTTGAAACAGATTGGTAAATTTTAATTTTTGACCCGAAAAGTTAAATATTCCATTATTGAGATTTTAGCGCTTGGTTTTCGTAAATCCGTGAATCACCTTTGCGTGCTATTAAAGTTTGATATTCAAAAAGGCACAAAGGAAAACAATGCTATTAGAGCGTACTAAGGTGAATTAGTGTAATACCTATTTCACGGGTTTTTTGACCTCACTCTAATTTCTTTTGTGTATTTGACTATTCAGTTGAGTCTCCCGTAAGCGGATATCCTTTGGAAAAGGAAAAAGTGTGCGTTGGAAGAATGTTTATATGAAAAAAATATAAAATAGGGGTTTCAGAAAGCTGTCCGTAATTAGGGTTGTCYGCTTACGAGAGCGTCCTCTAGTAGAGATTCCACTGTATCATTTAGGCCCGTTTACACTTGCGATTTTTTCAGATCGATTCTTGAGGCGATCGTCGCGCAACCATCGCCTGAGTTTTCGCGTACGATTTTAGTTGTGCGATAGCAAAGCGGCGATTGTCGCGCTGCCAAAATCGCAAGTGTTAACGRGCCTTTACAGTTAGATTTCATGGGTTGAATGCCCTCACTTTATGAACGAAAATCTAATAAAACAACATATCAAAGAATTGTATGTCATTCGTGCGGGTTTCCTGTGCTTTTTAGTTTTGGGCTTCCTTTAGCGAATCCATGCCATATATGGAAACAAAATGGCCGATTGTTGAGAAGTGTTTTCGCTATAATATCTGCAAGTTTCAGAAGATTTCAAGCTTTTAAAGTCGAGAAAATCGACAAAAACCATTCCTATCGTACTTCCAAATAAGGTAAGATTGTCATATATGGCTGCTAAACGAAGGATAACTTTTGTGGGGCAATTCTTTGATATGTAGAGTTAAAGTAAAATAGATAACTTATTGATAGTTTAATAGATGAGGCAATTATTATATATACTTTTGAGACAGGAATATTTTGTAAGTTTTAGTCAAATTATTTTAAACTGCAAGGTGGWATTATCTTTCAATAATGCTTATGTAGAGATTGTAGCAATAATGTATTACTTGATAAAACTTCTCTTCCTTTGTGTTTTTCATTTATTTTAATCCTCCCCGATATTGCCCTGGGGTTGGGATGCTGTGGTCTTGAATTGACCCCCGCCTTTCCCTAAGAAATATACCTTGTTCATTATAGACCATATGAAAAAGGGCGTGGCTATCGTAACGCCATATATTATGAGTTGTACAATATATCATTACTTCTCCGAACATATTCTAATGACTAAGATCTGAAAGTTTCATTACTCATACATTTAAGGACTAGAAATTTTAAAGGTCTGAAATTGGAAACGTTCGAGTGAAAATCAGTATTGAGGCCTTACCATCGTTTTCACGTTATCGCACGCTTCAAATGCTCGTAGCTCTGTCGATTTTCAACATTGGAAAATAAAACTCCTCCAGTTTACTAGTATAGATATACTTTTCATAATAGTGTAAAAAGATAAAGATTTTTTTAAAAAAATCTGGATCGTTTAAGGTTCTCATTCCCAGTCTTTTGCTCGTTTTTCATTTGGTCAATAAGACATTCCATCACAGTACAGTTTCAAAAAACAAAAACAAAAAACAAAAAAACAAACAAACAAACAAAACAACAACAACAAACAAACAAACAAGCAATGAGTTTAATGAAGTTAAACACAAGCAACAACATTAAAAGAACAGAGGAAAAGGTGAGAGGGTCGTCTACTATGAGCGAGTTTTTTAGTTATGAGTAAATTCGTAAAACAAAAGTAAAACAAAACAAACAAAGAAACAAAAAAACCTTCGGTTGTAAATAATTTCCTTTTTTACAGAAGTATAAATATTTTGTTTTGTCAACATTTTTGTAGCAAAATATTTACCTAAAAAACTGACTGCACAGCTGTTACAGCACTCCGCGCATGCGTTCAGTCAAAGTATGCACTACGCGGGAAAACTCGAAGGCTGTCGCATCGTATTTTSTCATTCATTGACTCATTGCCTTAGTTATTTGCTTATTTACGCTCAAAATCACTGTAAAATCACAACTCAAGCCAAACAAATGCGGATAGAAATTCAAGGAGTACATATTTAAAGGAACATTCTTCTTTAAAAAGTAAATTTTTGGAAGATTTACAAWGTATTTATCAAGCAGAGTGTTTACCTGTGGTAGCTGTGTTGTGGACTRCAGCATTCGGCCATCTGAGAAGAGATTTTCCCGACCTAAAAGTATACATTGTAAGTCCAAAATTCTATAATTTTAGACACCTTAATGTTAGTTTTTGTGAACGAAAACCTATCAATGCTTTTAGGAAAGTTCAATGGT